GTTACTCTTCCAAAGTTTACTTACTATAGTATGAAATTGTCTATGTAGTTTCATTAAGTAACGAAAATGTCTATGTAGTTTCATGATGTAGTTTCATTAAGTCCAAACATTTGGCACGCATTTGTGCCATTCTTTTACTACATTTTGCTGAGCCCGCGGACCCGCGGGCTCAGTAATTGCGGGCCCGCGGTACGCCCGCAGTAATGACGTAGTTCCATTAATTCCAAACACTTGGCACGCATTTGTGCCATTCTTTTACCGCATTTTACTGAGTACCGCGGGCCCGCGGTACGCCATTTGTCTTGATGTGCACTCACCGTCAGATCGGCGATGAAGGTGGTGACCCTGTGCTGCCCGAGCCGGTACTCCACCTCACGGGGCCGCAGGAACACCTCGTGCATGGTGTTCTCCACGGACCGGGCGAGCACGAGGCTCTGCGTGAGCTGAGCCTTGACGCCCCTCTGGTACACCTCGTCCAGGTTGAGCTCCACCGGAGACGTCCCCGTGCTCGCACGCTCGGGTTCTGGAGGCGCACAGCAAAACATCATCTAAAATATCGTGATCTAGACGGCAGCCTACACAGACAGTGCTATCACGAGGTTATCAGTTGTTTACGGTGGCAGGTATGGCACATCAAATCGGTGTACGAACGAGGAAGAAAAGGCTCTCAAAATAGACATGATCTTGAAATCGCTTCGCGGGCCCTATCACCTTATGTGCAGTCACTTACTCGATACTTGATAAATGTGATAAGTCTCAGTGCATTCAGATCAGGGTTGAGTATATCCAAAACACGTGCAAAACAGATGCATGACCACACGAAGATTTATTTATCATTGCATACCTGCCACTGCACCTTTTCTTCCGGGCGTCTCCTCCTTGGCGAGCGGCTCCAGCTCCGCAGAAGCGCCCGCGCTCCGCAGCTGGTCACCGTGCTGTGACTTCCGGCCCTCAGCATGTGATGTCTCGGCCTCCGTCTCCAGGGACCTGTCCAGAACCTCCAGGTACCTGTCCAGCTGTCCGTCGGCTTCATTCCATGTCGGTCTGGCCGACGTTGGCTCCGGCACTGGCTCTGGTCTCGCAGGACTCTGTGTCGGCTCGGCCGATTTTGGTTCCGGCTCTGGCTCTGGCTCTGGCTCTGGCTCTGGCTCTGGCTCTGGCTCTGGCTCTGGCTCCGGCTCCGGCTCCGGCTCCGGCTCCGGCTCCGGCTCCGGCTCCGGCTCCGGCTCGGCGGTCACCAGCGCCGGTTCCGTTGCGGGAGGTGCGATGGCCGACTCGGCTTTGGTCGGTTCCGGGTCGTTGTTGGGCCAGGCCGTCGTTGCCAACGGTGCCTCGTCGGTCGAGGCGGTCGGTGGTGGCGTTCCGATGGAAAAGGCTGTAGCAAGAGTGCTCGTCTCCTGGGCGGTCGCCGCGGCAGCCTGGCTCGCGTCTCGCCAACCGTCCTGACTCTGTGACGCTTCTGATTCGGCGGCCTGGGCCGTGCCATGGTCATCGGCAATAGCCTCCGCCCGGTCTGCCAATTGACCCACGCCTTGTCCGGCATCATGACCCACGTCTCGGGGACCATCCGGGTCCTCGTCCTGACCCACGTCCTGAGAACCATCCGAGCCCTCGTCCTGACCCACGTCCTGCCGCTCCACTGGTCGGCTTTCTGCATCTAGCGTTTGAGCTTCCTCGGCGGAACCAGCCGTCTTGGGAGCTGTCGTCACCTCTGAGGATTCGGCTTCGTCGGGGGCTGCGGTCTCCTCGGACCGCTCTGCTCCACTGGACTGTTTGCCGTCCTCAGATGGCCCTGTACCCGCCGGTGACTCAGTTAGGTCAGGCGACCTGGTGAGTGTCTCGTCCCCCTCGGGTGACTGCGTGGACGCCTCGGTCCCTCCGGGCGGCTCTGGTTCATCAGTGGACTCTGTAGTCTCGGATGCCCCGGCTCCTTCAGCCTCTTCGGTGGCGGACTCCGTGACAGCAGACCCGGACCCAGGTCCAGGAAGGCTGGAAGTAGTCAGCACGCTGGGCGTGGCAACCTCCACTTCATCTGCGAAAAGTACGAACGCATCGAGGCAGTGCAGATGAGAAAAAGTTTGCCGGTGCATCCTCGTCCTCAAGTTGGGCCTCAGGTAGCTCGTGGCGTTATGTTGTGTGTCGAGTTGTATGCACTGTTTTTTCCATATTACAGTACAATTGCAACAAAAAGAAAGTACCCTCGCGCTCCAGTGCGCATTATTTGTCAAAAGACCATTAAGGAACTTTATATTGTAACGCATCACAAAGGTGCTGTGGGGACCAGTCCTGATCCAGGCGCATGCCCTCAGCAGCACAGAGGTTAGGGGGTGGAATAGTGGATGAATGGCCCATACGTTCAACAGTGTGGTAGTGAAGCTTGACCGAAATGCTACCGTGTGATCGATTTTGTTCCCATACCGAGCGAGCGGGCGACAGGCAGCCATCACCACCTGGCCCTTACGAGGGGAATATACGAAATAAAGCCCAGGAATCGGGCTCAGCATTGGATTTGTTTATCTCTCACAACTTGATCCTAACTTTTTGATTGGATACAGTTCTGAAATCAGCGTCTACAGCAAGTGGCGCTTGTTGCCTGAACCCTTACTCCTCCATCGGATCGTGGAGCTCCGGGTCAACGGTAGAATTTCACAGTGAAAGCTTGGCGTGTTCCAACGCTTGGCGCAAGGTCCACGAATGAAAGCTCGGCGTGCTGCAACGCTTGGCGCAAGGCCCACAAATGAAAGCTCGGCGTGCTGCAACGCTTGGCGCAAGGCCCACAAATGAATGCATAAACCGGCTTGGACCCTGCCCTCGTCACCGCCAGTACGTGAATCATACTGCAGGCACTTCAACTAGCTGAGCTACTGAGACGAACAATGGAATGGAAGGAAATGAGATATCAAGTATTCTTGAAGCAAAGGTTGGAAACATATTAGCACGCTCCATTTTTAGAACGAATAGTATGAAGGTCCAAATAAATTCCTTTTCTGCATCTAACTATAAAGCTTGTTCCTGGTCACGTAGTCCGCCCTGGGCCTGGAATTCCATAGTTTGGTTTGCAAAATCTTCCAAATATCCATGACGCGCCTAGGAACAAAATTACCCTTAAAGAAACATGTCAAAGAATACGTTCTAAAGGTTTATGTTGAAAATTTACCATAACTCACGACGTGCTTGAACAGCTATGTTGGTGATAATTTTGATCTCAAAGCAGTTTGCTCCCTTTATCTCATTTTACTATAGTGTGTTCATTTCTCTTTTCAACACAGCTCAAGACATTTGTGATTGGTGATATACGTATTCGCGTCTGTGTGTGTTTGTGTATACGTTTTTGCCGTATATATATATATATATATATATATGTGTGTGTGTGTGTGTTCTTCGCCCTGAGCACAATGTAGTCTGTTCTGATATTTGGATGAGTATGTACTAGCATTAACACTCACTCGCCTGGATATCAGGGCATAATCGAATTCATAGCGGCGGCGGGCTATTCAGCATACAAAAAAATAAGTTAGGTACACCGGCTCTGGTGGTAGTTTTGAGGGGCTGTCGGCCATCATTCTTGGAACTGGCTACTTTCGACTGCAGTTATATGGCTCATTAACATGTCTATTAAACTCATTTAAACTGTGCTGACAAGGGAGATGCCAACCGATGTTTGTGTATATTCTCCTCATCGAACTTAGTTTATTTCACCTTTCTAGGCAGGGGGTGATGCGGTATCGCCACTTTGTCCTAATACTTTTTTTCTAGTCGTTTTGCCGTGGCTGGACAGAGGGATACCATGCTGAACAATTTATGGTGACTACGCAGTCAGAAGAAACAGAGCAAAAACATATTGCTCATTTTATGTGTAAAACTGTGTCCGAATGATATGTCAGGAGGGTGATTTAACCATGGCACACTGAGAAAATTGAATGAATTGCGCGTTTGTAAAAACCTCAGTCGCCTTAAAGGGACTGTTGCACATTTTATTGGCATCCAAGCAAGCACCAGATGATGAAATGAACACACTCATAACTAATGGTATACTTTTAAGAAAAAAAGACTGTGCTAGACCACCAGATTTCTCTATTCAGTAAATATACTTCTCAATTTGTTATTGTCTGACTGCGCAACATTCACTGAGAACCGATCGACGGCCGTTATGTATGGAAATCGTGTTTACGAACGCCAGATATGAATAACTCGACAATTATGTCTGCTTTGGCCCTGATTGTTCCATGGCCAAAGGAATGGCAGGATTTGAATGACGTCATAGTGGCGTCATGGAAGTCTGGGTGACCTTAAAATAGTCACACCAAATAATCAGCACATCTTCGCGGGCGTGTAGCTCAGGAACCAGAGGGGTTCACGTCTTAAGAAGGGCATGGCTGTGAACTGCACCACATGATCTTCAGGATTGGACCTGTTCTGATCAATTAAGATTGGGCCTGATGAATGATCCCTTAAGGAAAGATCCGTCAGGAGGGAACTCTGACCTGGCTGACGAGTTCAACCGTCTTTTCGCGACGGTTGGGCTTCGCATCGCCACCAAACTGAGAGGAAGCAGCAGAAGACACCCAGACCGCCAACAGTCGGTACAACCTCTTTCACCTTAAGTCCGCTACTCACCCTGAAATATATTTGTAGATCCGGCGGATGAGCAGAGAGCGGTGAGTCTGGACGGCGTATCAATAAAGGCAGCGCACCGATGCTTCCCTGTGTTCGGTCCTCATCTCCTGCTGACCATCAACTGCACCCCCCCCCCCCCCCTCCCCGCGACTCGGCTATTTCCCGACGAGTGGAGTGGAGTGGACATGGCGCCCGTCTTGAAATTAGGCGTCCTAATTGTGACAGTTAAAAAAGGCTCATATCTCTCAGTTATGCTGTCCAAAATTCTTAAAAAGGTCGTTTACAAAATTATTGAGTGGTCGCTCCTCCAGAAAAGCAGTCTCGAAGCACTAAAATGTCGTGTAGAAATATCAAGTCGCGAACTTCAGGCTTGGCTCAGCGTAAACTCACTGGAAATGGGCCTGGACAGAACTGACTTTCTTCTAGGAGGTTCAAAACAGAATTTAGATAAAAATTGTGGTTTCTACTTTATGATGGATGAATAGGTTGTCTCACCTTTATCGTACATCAAACTGCTCGGTGTGATCATAGACTCGACGCTTTGTAGGAAAAGCATTTCACCAAAGTCGTGAAAAAATGCAACGAAATTCTAATATCGCTATACCGCTTCAGACATTACTCAAAACCCGATGTTTTCAAAACTATTATAGGAGTCTACGTTTTTACATATGTATCTGACTGTTGATGCGCGGTGGGAGCACGATGAGCTGCCAGGTGCTGGGGATTAAAAAAATAATAAACTGTGCCGCCAGGATTGTCCCTGGTGTAAAACGCAGCCAGCACATAACACCGACCTTGGAATCTCTAGGCCCGGCCCAGAATAATGGCTTGGCGAAAGAGAGGGACCTGCTGAAATGATTCAAAGCCCTAAGATGCAAAGAACCGCCTCGGCTGTCAAATCTTTTTAAGTAACAATTTCCGATTTCATTTAGGGAGACGCGCCCCTCCATGCCAGTGATTCGCCACCCGCTCCGGTGCCGATTGCAAGTCATCAAGCGAGCCTTTCCCTATTGTACCGCGGCAACTTGCCAACTGACTTCAGCCATCACTGTGTCCTCATTTTCGACTTCTGAGGGAGTAAAAACTAGCGTTTCAAATTGCAAATGTTAGGTCATGGGCCTTAGTTTTTAGCCATGCTGGTTACCCATGTGATTGTATGGCATGTGCATATATGTTTGTGAGCTTTGCAAACCAATGCGGATCCCTTGCACCTGCAATTTATTTTCAATCATCTCTGTGCGTGTGTGCTGGGTTTGGCAGATTTGGTTGTCAGTTTAGAGCATTTATTAAATCCATTGTTCTACTTAGCTCGTTTTTCAACTTTATATTTTATTGTGCTGTATTTGATCGTACTGTAGCTTATCGTATCGTGTTTTGCAGCATCCTATTTTACAGTCAAGTTGGTAATATCGTATTTTAAAGTATGTTTTAGAACATTTTTGGTAATGCGTTGTAACGAGTGAGTGAGTGAGTGAGTGATCTAACAAACCGAAGTTAGCAAACGTTGTACCCAGCCGAAGACCTGAAAACCACGTCTTAGATGGTTTTGAAGCAAACAAATAAAAGCACAAATACAAACACAAATAGATCAATATGGCTATTTCAGTTCAAAACTTCACACAAATGTTGAACGCTTCCTTTAAAACCCACACTGGTACGGTTAACCATTAAATTTAATTAGCAGGATCCACATGTACAGATGTATCCAACGTATTACCGTTCTGATTACTCCAGTGACGTTTTTCTATGCTTTAAGTTACGCCAAATCATTCTGCCACAAGTGTTGCATCTTGCCAAAATCGGTCCTATAGATTAAGAATTGCAATACGCCGGTCCATTGCCTTCCCAAAAGACAGTCGGATACAATTATTAACATGAAAATGGATGGAGTTTTTTGTTATAAGTGGTTGTTCTACATTTCAAATATGTCGTTTTATCATTCCAGAAATACATTTTTCTTCTTCAGATTGTAAAGCTTGCCCGCAAAAATAAAAACGAAAATTTTCCTCCCATTTCATAGCACGTCTCAAAAGCAAAGTTGATCCCATTTTTACATAGTGGGTAAGCTGGCCTGAATTATATGTGACCCACTGGCGGCGGGAAGGGTTGGAGCCACTTTGTACGCCCTTTTTACTCTGGTTGGTGTGCACTACGGCCGGAAACAATTGCAGGAAAGGTCGGGTGGTCGGGTGCAGGAAAAGTCGGATCGGGTGGTGAAAAGTTCCTACGCTCAGATTCGCATTGGCTGTGGCAAACATTGCGACACGTTAAGCTTTCGTCGTAAGATTATACGGTTGACGCTGAGTTTCACGGTTATGGTTTCGAAACAAGCACCACTTGGCTTGCACGCTGACCTCAGAAAGGTATCTAATCACAAGGACAGAACCTTTTTTTTTAATCAGCGCTGCAGACGAT